TCCAGACCGGGGCGGCAGACACAGACAGGCACAAGGATAAAGTCAAAGCAGCGGCATAGACTCTCAAGCGCCGCCTCGTGTTGCACCTGTCCTTTTGTTGCCGCAGCTGCTGTTGCCGTCGCGTGTTATTGTTGCAGCTAGTTGTGATTGTGATTGTGGCAGTTGCTGCTGCTGCTGCTGCTCACTTCAAAAGGAAAACTCAGCTCGTTTCTGTTGGGCTGGCAGCCCAGCCAATTAGCGCTGCTTCGTTAAAACTCATTTGCGGCAATAAATGTCGCTAGCTGCAACAGGCAAAACGGGCAACAAGCAACAAGCAACAATAAACATTGATGGGCCTAGGGCGGGCCAGAGTGGGCCAAAGAATTGATTGCACTTTGGCGTGTTTGTTAAGTTGCTTTCGCAGTGCAAGTTATGCGGCTTTTGTTGATGTTGCAGTTGCTTTTGTTGCTGTTGTTGTTGTTGTTGTTGTTGTTGCTGCCATTTGTTGTTCGACTTTTCATTGCTGGAATGTTGCACTTAGCGCACGCCAGCAACAATGTTGCCCAAACAATGACAGCCACATTATGCGCTTCCGCATTCCACTTTAATAAGTCCGTCGAGTCAACAACAACAACAACAATTGTTGCATTCGTAACTCATGCAAAAGACTTGAAATTAACAATACAAATTTGTTGTCGATCTTTGTTTTGAATAGCAGGAAGTAATAAATATAAAAAGCGTCACTCAAGAAACTAGATTTTGTTGTTGGGTCATAAAATGTCAGAAAGCGCAAGAATCCTTAATTAAGTCAAGTGGTTTAATATCTAGGTCAAGTTTTGTTTTTCTACAATTTTTTGCACAATTTTGAAAAGTTTCTTTAACAATTAGTTTCAAATATTAGAAGTGCTTTAAGGAAAAAACAAGTTAATTGTATTATTTTTTCCAACTTTTATCTTTTCGGGGCTGCAAATCACATTTCCAATATCCAATTCAACAAATATGCAGCAATATTTCTTTTTGGATTTCTGTAGTACTTTCTCCGTATAGCGTTTGCATTGAATGTTCAATATATATTATTGCGTTCAGCTCTATTTGAAAGCGAGTTCCATTTCATGGCACTTGGCACAGCTTGAGTTCCTGTGTGGCACACAGATACTCAATGATCTATGAAGAGTATATTGTTATAATATCATGATGTCATATGACACATTCTCGGTTTCATTCATGGTTAAGTCTATTATATAGACCTTCAACTGCAGCATATTGAGTCATTCGCTTCCTGGCCAAGAGCCCAACATGACTCAATGCGAATTGTGAATACGAAATGAATATGAATGAATGTATTTTATTCATCGTGTGCTCTCCTCCAACTAAGGCAGCAAAGCAGCAATCCATCAATTTGAGCGTTTTGCAAACGAAAACAAAAGCAGCAAACCAAACCAAAAAAAAATAAAATAAAATATTCGCAACAAACGTCACAAAAGCCAACAACAAAATATAGTATTAAGAAATAAAATAATCTCAGAAAATGGGCTAAGATTAGTGGGGAATTTTTTCGTCATTAAGTTCCGGACATGTGACTGCAGATTTTTGCCAAAACAAAACCTAAATTTGGCAATACCCATGAGACTTATAGTATTTAGCCAACTCTTTAAGTCTGTTGACGCCACGAATTCGCAATACGATAGCCAACTTGACAGAGCATTTAGTTGTGGTTATATTTATATGAATGTATCTCTTAATATATGCCTCTGGTCATCTTATGAAATGCACGCCAAGGCGGGTTTCTGGCAGATTTCGCACGCAAATGTGAAGAAAGCACAAACGAACTTCGTTTCAAACTCATTTTCAAAGATCTTTGTTCAAATACATCTCCGAGTTGTTTCACACTTTGCGCAAAATCCTTACCAACTAGGTGAAAATGGGAATTAATAATTTGGCAGTAGAAGTTTGGGGTTAAAATTGATATCGAAAACGTATCGCATAAATTGTTTGTCTTGGATCAAAGGTAGACTGGGCGAAATTTAGAGTGAAAGTTCATTTGAATATGTATACAAGAACAAGAGATAAGATAAATTATTTGAGACGCGTTTTCTGCCAATTTACCAGTGTTGCAGATATGTATACATAAATTGCTTTGAAATCGTTCAAAATTTGTGAAATGAAAAGTTCTCATTTCCTTCTATAATATAGTGCTATGAGAATTTATTGTGAGCTAATCGAATGTGAAATCTGTCATTTCCGCGTGTTTTTCACAGCTGCTGATGGAATTAGTCAAAAGCACGCGCCGTGCACTTACATCACAGTCAATCAGTCAATCAGTCAGTCATTTGTATATATATATATCTATCATATCTATTTATTATATATATAACATATATTTGGTCAAAACATTCAGCATTTGACCAAATGGATGAAAAATTAAAAGTCGAAAATATCATTTAGCGCATAATAATACAACAGACCTTCCATAGGGTCTCGCACTGGGGAACAAGTGCGAAAATGAATGAATTATGGCTTTTACGCTTCTGCCACTTTCCCCTGCTTCCCTGCTTCCGTGCTTCCCCTCCCCGTCCACCACCGTTCGCGCCATCCCCTAGTCTTAGGCTTTGGGGCTGGCTGTTGCGAAATCGTATGAATATTTTGCTCACGCGCTGCCAACAATCACTCATTTTGTTGAGGCGACAACGCCAACACCCCCCTCCTTCACCACCCTTAGCCTGACCGCCACCCCCACCCAATAGAGCAAAGAAGTCACGTTTGTTGCCCCCACCAAAGCAGCCCCCAGTCTGTAGCACAAAAAACGCTCGCATACAAAGTCAATTAGTTGTGATGCCTCGGCGAAGGCTTCTGTTGTTCTTGTTAACGTTTTTGTCGTTGTTGTTGTTGTTGTTGTTGTTGTTGTTGAGATTTAGGCCAACAATGACGCACATCAGCAAGCAGCATTGGACTATTTTTTATGATGTTGCCTCCACTGCCACACGCTGCCACGCCCCCACTGCCACACGCCCGCCCCGCATCCTAGCCACGCACTCAGACACTGTCGCAAATATAATTTTTGTGTTTGCAAAAAAAAAAAAATTGGCAAAAAACAGAACGTCAAACGGCGAACCTCAAACGCATTATGCCTAAGTGTTTTTTATGGAGTATCAAAAGAAATTACCCGGCGTTGTGCAGGTCAAACGAATGGCATAGCAAAGGGGAGTATTACCTAAATGCTCTATGTAATTTTCGCCTAATTTCGTCTATGAAACTTGTCTTCTACTTATTAATAAAGCTTGTGTGCTATTGCCATTTAAATGAACATAGATCTAATATTAAGTATTTCAAACATTTAAATGCTGCGGCAATTTAAAGTCTAAATTTCATATGATATTTGTTGTTGTTGTTATTGCAGCCGCTCAAAAGACGTCAACATATTTTTAGATGGCGCCGGAAATGCGAAAGCCTTTTGAATGATTTTCTTTTTTAATTTTCCTTTTTTTTTTGTTCTCTTGTGTGCCCGTTTTGTGTGTGTTGTATGTGGCCTTCTCGTGGACAAGAACATGGCAAGAGCAGCGCGCAGAAAGTGGACGGGGGGGCGGGTTGGGGGGTGTGGCTGGGTGTGTGATTGGTTTGTGTACCTTGTATTTTTAGCTAATCACGCGGATAAGCCGTACACAAACTTTCTGGCGCATTTATGAGCCAAAATATTAAACGCATATAAATAACATTAGAAATTCTGAAAAGTCTAGCCTGTAAGATACCCTGTAGATACAGACCGAGCAATAAAATATAAGTTTTGTATTTAAACCTTTTGACTCTTCTCACATTTCATTTAAGTTACACTTAAATTTACATAAAAATAAATATATATTATTATCAATTCATTTTTAATAGACTGTGAGATACCCTGTAGAAACAAGCGAATTAATTAAATAAATAATTTATAATTTTTATGCTCAGCTGTTTCTTGCATGCAAAATTCAAGTAACATGCATAGACTGTGAAATACCCTACGGAAATTCTGTCAAACAATAAAATATACGTCTTTCATTGTAAGCAGCAATAATTGAAAGCTTTCAATTTTAATAAATTAAAATAATAAATACTTATTATTCTTAATTAGTTTGCAATAAATATGCTCTGCTGTCTGTTGTATGCGAAACACAATTAACATACTGATAGCTACAGGGTATGCTCGTAAAAATCAATTTAGCGTTTGGGTTAAACTTTCTGAAATCATCTCAAATTTAATGTGCGGCAAAGTAAACAAGCGATACTTATGTACTACCCCAATTGTTTCATAATCTGGGCAACAGTCGTAAAACTTGACGTGTGTGTTCGCGTGTGTGTGTGCGTATGTGTGTGCGTGTGTTTGTATGGATTAAGTGAATGAATATTATTAGAATGCTCATTAGAAGTGCTTGGGCTTAGCTGCGATTTGCACAGAAATGTGTTTAAAATAAATATACATTTTTAAATATTTGTAAATGTATCGAAATTTAGTTTTGGGCTTTTGAAGGTACAATACATAAATCAGCCGGGGACTTAGTTTAATGAGTTTGCCTTTAAATGAAGATTTCGAGATTGGCTCAGTTTCATTGGAAATCAAGAAATGTCCTAAATAAATAGAAATATTTATTTATTTTTAAATTAGTCGCTCGAGTAGCGCGCAGAATAACGCATTGGCAGGCTGAGCACGAGGTTTGTGGATCGAACCCCCGCGAGGTCAATTAAATTAAACGACATTTAGTTTGGGCCTTTTCAAAGGTAGAGTATTGTATGTCGATGTCAATCAACTGGGGGCTTAGTTTGATGTGCAGGATGCAGGCTTTTCACTCTTAAAGTAAGATATGGGCATTGCGTTCCCGTAAAGTCTAAATTATATTTATAGATTCATTGAAATTAAGCTTGAGTCTATTAAAAGTAGAGTATTGTGAGTTAAAGTAAATCAGATTGGGGCTTAGTTTCATGTACTGTATTTTGGGAATCGAGCTCCCGTAAAGACAAATTAAATTAGTAAATGATTCAAAACTAACCTTGCGGCTTTGATAGGAGGCGTATAAATAAGCTGGATACTTAGTTTGTTTTGTCTCTCTCTTAAAGTAAGATTTGTGCATCGAGTTCCTGTAAAGAGAAATTAATTTATAAGTTAATAGTAATTTAGCTTGAGGCTGTTTATATAGGTAGAGTATTTAGTTTCTAAGTAAATCAGCTTGGGGCTTAGTTTAATGTGCTGTCTGCAGTTTTCTCTCTTTAAATGAAGATTTCAGAAATTACAGAAAATTGCCGCTTTAGGACTCATTCTCACACGGGTTGAACGTGTGAGTGGATAACCCAATGACAAGGGGCAGCTTTCTGGTCAACCCGAAAGGGCAAATGCTGCAATTGGAGCTTGCGGCCGGCCGATGGTCGATGACAACTTCATTTTGGCCATACTCTGAGGTCCGTGCCGGCCATAAGTCACCCTTCAATAGATATGCCGCTCGTTCAGCACCAGAAAATGAACGTTTTTTGGGGCCGAGTTAAGTGTTGACAGCGGCAACACAGGATGAGGCATGTGGCATGGTGGCATGGAACTAAGCTGGGTACGTGCGTTGCGTTAAGTGAAAATACAAGAAAATTGAGGCACGCGACGAATTACAGCTGAAAATGGGCCATGTGAATGGGGCATGTGCAGCAGCCGGGGCAACAGCAAAGATGGGAACTTGGGATATGCGAACTTGGAGCTTGGAGCCTGGAATTAGGCGCCTGAGTGAGTGGCCAATGGGTATGTGAACTGATGAGTGTACGCGTGTGTGTGTGTGTGTGTGTGTGTGTGTTCGTGTGTGTATTTGTCAAATGTGAGCAACTGTATGTTGAGAAGATTTATGTGGCAGCAGCAGCAGCTGGAAAATGTTCGGGGGCAAGGGCCAGGTTGCGGGTGAGGGTGAGGCTAAGCTGCTGCTGCTTGGCTTTTGTGTGTAGCTTCATCCAAATGAGTGCAGAATCAGGACCAGGACCAGGACTAGGACTGGGAACAGGACGAGAACGACAATGGCAAATAAAAGATTTTTATTATCACATTATGCGGCAGCAGATTTTCCCCTTAGCTCTTAGCCCTTTGTTGTTGTTGTTGCTCTCGCCCCTGTCGGATAGTTTACTTTGCCACCCCTCCCTCCCCTCGCTCCACTGCCTCTCTTTTTCTGTCGCATTTGGATTGAGGCCAAGTTGTTAAGTTGGTCGACTAGATTTTTGGGCCCTAAAAAGCAAAAGGCAGGTTGGCCAAATTCAATTTGGCAAATGAAATTTCTAGACACAGGTCCAAAGAGCGAACATTCACTAAAAACAGTCAAAACTATGCGAACAACTAGCAACAACGACTATATAAATACGCTGTAATAAATTGCATCAAATTATAACCTTTTCAATAATCAAATGAAATATTTAACACATTGATTGTACAATATTAATTAAACCAACAATATTAATTCCCAACATCAGAAATCCATCTTCAATTAACCAATTCATTTGAGAGAGAAATTGCGTTAAGTTTGTACAGATCTTACAAGAAGGAACTATCTTAATGTATATTTTAATAATATTTATTTACCTTACTCATCTATATAATACTTAATTGATGCAGTTTAATCTTTAATCTATTTGAAATATTTATTTGCGATAAATTGATTCACAGCATATTTGCTCACAAGCTGAAAATAGCACATTTAAAATAAAATTGCGACACAGTTGATGCTTTTCTATACCCTGTAAAATGTGTAATACTTTTAATTTCAATTTCATTCCACAAAAGATAGTTGTATGTGATTAAAATGGCATAGATTTCTGTGTAAATTCATGTTTAACTATTTGTAATGTATTTATGTGAATTTGAAATTGGAATTCAAACCAGCCTCTTTGCCCTCTGTATTTGCAGGGTATAAATAGAACATTAACAACGACGTCAGCATCGCAGACATCGTGAGTTCCTCTTGGCTGCTCGTCTATTTTGGTCGGCTGACTCGACGGGAATTACTAATTTGGATGTTATGCTCCCGGATTTGTTGCTGCATAACATGCTAATTATACAAAAATAGATCACGTGAGCCCGACAGGCTCACAGCCCCAAGGCGTGGCTGGGGTGGGCGCCACAGGCGTTTTTTCGTTTAGATGCGGCGAGGGGAAGGGGGTTGTGTGTCAACTGTTGCATGTCGTCGCCTGCTTAGACGGGGGCTGGGCCCCAAAACTTTTGCTCGCCTCGGCTCGTGTCGCATCAGTCAACCACGCAGCGCTACAAGATTGATGCGACGCCAACTGAAGATACATAGAGGGCTGGCTTAGAGGTGCGGAGGGGGGGGGGGGGGAGTAGATCTAACTGACAGACAGGAAGGGAGCAACAGCTGCCGGAACGATGCTATTTGGGTCAAACTTTGACGAAGGAGATGCACAACTGAAATGGCCAGTCGAGCGCGGTGCGAATCGCCATGGAGCAAAACAAATGCCCCAGACAGAGCGAAAGAGAGAGAGAGACAGAGAGAGAGAGAGAGAGTGGGAGAGTGGGAGTAGGGATGGGGCTGCGACTGGGCCGGGAGCTGCAGCAGTCAGGGAAATTAATAAAATGTTTGCGAGCAATTGCAAAAAATTAGCCATGGCCAATGATTGTTGATGTTGCAATCATTAATAATGTATATATGGCCCAGGGGTTGGGAGCAGCTGCGGGGCAGTCGGTGTCGTCGGGGTAGTTCGGTTTTGGCCGACATGATTAATGTTTGGATTGTGTGAGTGGCATGCCTATAAGGCAAGGTAATCACGAGCAATGAGTGCTGGTTGTTATTCGACGGTATTTAGGCACGGCATGGGAAACCGAATATCTAGATGTGAAATTCTAATTGCAAGCCAAAGCTATACAAATTATTTATTGACATCTGACACAGTGATTTATTAATGATTGACCAAAAAAAAAAAAAATCGCTGGTCTAAAATTCACAATTTAATAATAAGCTAGGAATTTGAGGATAAAGCAAAGCGCAGCCAGTGAAGCGTTTAAGGTGGAGAGTGAAAGCAGCGTAAAAAGTCTGAATATTGTTAAACATTTCTTAAGTGAGTACAACATTGATGGTACAAACCAAAACTTTAATCTCTTACTTACAAGTCAATTATAAGCTAGTAATTTGAGAGTCTAATAAAGCGCAGCCAGTAAAACGTTTAAGGTGGCGAGAAAGTCTCTCATAAGTAAATTTAATTACAACAATCGCAAATGCTTTTAGGCAAAAACAAGATAATTAATGTTGCGACAACGTATTTACACAGAGCCAGTAAAACATTTAAGGCAGCGAGCAAAAAGAGTCTCAATTAGAAGTGTAGAATTTTTTAAGTAATTTTAATTGCACAACACAATTGTTAATAATATTGCACTGCAAAAATGTGATAATTAATGATGTGACAAAGTATTTGCACAAAAATAGCAATGAACAATTTCAAGTGCTGTCAAAATGGGAATTTATGAAAAATAAATGAGTTAACAATTGCATATTAGGAGCATGTTTTAACTATGCCAGCCCCCTATATAGACAGATCGAGACACGCACAGGCTTAGATGCGTACGTATATAAATATATATATCTGGCTATATATATGTATTCAATTATGATTTCAAGTTGAAGCCAAATGCATTTTCTATGCCAAATTGCAAAGTTGCATTTAATAAGCTTTATAAATTGTTTTTAGGCATTTTTGTTGTCTGACAACTTGACAGTCGGAGAGTCAAACCAAACCAAACGGACAATCAGTGCAGTGGGGTTTGGGCCATAACAAACGGCCGCCCGTCAGCTGACAATCAAAAAGCAAAAAAAAATGTCAGACGGCGACATCCACAAGCCGACTGGAACTGAGCGGAGTCGAATGGATTGAATTGCCAGCCAACTGCAACTGCAACTGAAACTAAGTGCAGCGTGTTGCAGCGTGCTGCGCAGTGCTGTGCAACGTGTTGCTGTGAGGTGGGGAGCTACCGCTGCCGCTGCTGCTGCTGCTGCTGCGGCTGTGTAATCCGTCATTTGTTCGCATTCCATTCAAGGCTGCCTGGCCAGATCCGCCTCAGTGGGTCTAAGTCAGCCAATCCAATGCAGCTGTCTCGCTCTAGCCATGATCTCACTCACTCGCTCCACCTCTCTCTCTCTCACTCTCTCTCGCTGTCGGTCTGTCGCTCTCTGTTGCACCTGGGCAACTTAGCGGCCATTTGGCAAATTGCAACTTTTCGATAAATTCGAATCATTTGTCATTGACACAAATAGCTTTCAAATTGTGCACACAAATGAACGCACACACACACACAGTCACATACACACTCACACACAGATAGGCACGAGACAGTCAGGCCTGTGGCGGAGGAGGGGGGGGGGAGTGTTACAGGCGAGGACTGTGATTGCTGTTGCTGGTTGTTGCAACTGCTGCAATTGACGACGTTCTCAGCGGAAATTCCCAAATACAGCCAAAACACAAACAGAGCTCAGAGACACAGCCAGAGATCAGCAGAGACCAGCAGCTCTCGCTGCTTCATATACACTATATTTGAGGGGCATGTTAGCTATATCAAGCAGTTGGCAATGTGCAGCGGAAAGTTAACCAGAATCAGTTCCAAGCATAAAACGGGTATCTTTCTAGTGTTAACTTTTTTGTAGTCTCTTAATCAATTTAAATAATTTTATATTTATAAAAATATTCCATTTTTTAAATCATTTTTCCATCATTAAGTCATGTCCTTAAAATACAATTTTAAAATTTTTGTTAGGTAAGTTTATAAGAAAGCCGGAATAAAGGAAATAAAGAAAAATCAAGAAAAGCAACTGCATTTGTTAGTTTTAAATCAGCAAAAATAAAGTTTTTCCCAATGTAATTTAAAATTATATAAAAATATGTGTACTATTATTTTGGCTCTGGTATATGAAGAGGCCACGTTGATTAAAAATAAAGATTATTTATAGTCGCCAATTGTTAGGGTATTTAAATTCTTCGGCTTTGTTGCCTTGTGTTTTTTGTTCGCTTGGTTATTATCTTTGGGTTTGTTGTTGTTGTTGTCGCCGCTGGTGGCATGCCGCATGTTGCCGTCGTGTCGTTGGCGATTTCAAGCTGCGTCTCAGCGGCAACAATCG